ATGATGCTCAGATAGTGAGGGCATATTGCTATGCAACATATACAGTACATTTACAGCACCATGAATTAATGCTGTATACTTACATCTACCATATAATTGTATTATTGTACACATTCACGCTTTTGCAGTGATTGTATTGATCTTTTTCAGTTCAACAAGTACGCATTTGACAGATGTTAAAGACAATTCTAGATCTGCTAAATTACAACGATTGAGAGAAAAGTTACGCGCAGAACTACTAGATGTTAACAAGACTATCAGTTCACACCATAAAGATGTAAAGCAATCTAATCAAGCCCTGCATTTACTTGTGACTGCAGCAAAAACCAGCCCTGCGCTTACAACAGCTGCAATTCATGACGAGAAGAATTATTTGTTGGGGTGAGTTTTTATAATCATTGTTTCCGTTTTATTGTAGTTTTAAACTTAAATACTTTCACTGTCCACTGAAAAAGTTTTCCTGCTTTGTTATAACATATATATATATATATACAGGGTGTATAAAAAAAAGCGCAATCCTCGACTGAAATGTAAATTGCTAAACAAATAATAGACGAAAACGTTAAAGTTTACATTCATTTTAAAGCGTAGCCATTCAGCTTTCTAACAGTGGGTTGTTTCTTAAATTTGACTCATTGGTTCGTGGGTAATAATACTTTACGTTATTGGGATTGGAGATTAAAAAAATTGAGATGGAATAACAAATCGTTCTCATGAAAATAACTGATTTTTTCATTAAAACAAAAAAAATGTTGCATTTTAATAAATGGATTGTAACAATAAGTATAATTACGGCTTTTCTTCCACTATTTTTAACACAGTTTGAAACTTCAAATGCGATATAATTTTGGCTTGGACCATCTAAGCTGACTGACATCAATTTGCTATAATTTCTGTTTACATTACATTGCAATTCGATGACACTCTGGCTCAGACACCAGAATGTTTTGACGATTTTTAGCATTCGTTTAGGATTTTCAAACAACCTGGTATCTTTTAAAATACTTTTAATTTGTTCTTACGTGGTTTTCCAGATGTAGTGACGACAACATTAAAGTTTAAAGAAGAAAATTCTAACATTTAAACCGACTAAACAATAACATAGTAAACTTGCATAATTAAACAGCAACTAAAAATGATAGGTTTACTAAATCTTTTCCTGTGCAATTATTACTAGCATTGGAGACAAGGATAATAGTTTGTTTGAAAGAGAAAAGAACAGGCTTTGAAGTAAGCCTAAAAGCGTTTAACTAGAAATAGTATTTCGAAAGTTATTAAGCACAAAAGATGAATTGCGTTTATTTTGATACACCCTATATATATATATATATATATATATATATATATATATATATATATATATATATATATATATATATATATATATATATATATATATATATATATATATGTGTATGTGTGTATGTGTGTATGTGTGTATGTGTGTATGTGTGTATGTGTGTATGTGTGTATGTGTGTATGTGTGTATGTGTATATGTGTATATGTGTATATGTGTATATGTGTATATGTGTAT